AATGCTGGCAGAAGATAGCTGATATCACATTAGAGGAAGAGCATGTGAAGACGCCTAACGTTGGGGCCTATGATGTTGGTGCACATGTGAGGGCAAAGTACACACCCAGCTTTGTCATGTGATCTGTTCCCCATGTTAGCATCATTGTTCTGTTAACTAGTGATGGATATAAAGCAGGGTTCAAATAAATGTTAAGAGAAACCTCCCAATCTATCTAATTCTGAATAGAAGGTCCCCACGGGCTATCCCTTGCATAGATGGGAGTTAGCTGTCTTCTCAGGTGGGCAACCATGTGGCACTGGTTCCTCGGTCTCTCACTAAACACCACACCCAGCATTTGAATGGTGGTTAGGTGTGAATTATTTTGCTGGAGTCTGCAATAAGCAGCTTCCAGATCTAAGCTGCATGACTCTGGATGACCAGTAGATGGCAGTAAAGAAAAAGTAGGGCTCTTGTATTTCTTCGTTCTCATCCAGTGCTCATTCAGAGTTTTCCAGCCAGAACTCATTCTGGTAATCCTCCTGCAACACCATGCAATATTATGACTTTTCAAAGGCATGCCTATCCATCTGCTACAGGGTTGGGTGAAGTCTATCAGTATCTGTGTTCCCAATTAACGTGCAGGTGCTGCTCCTGCAGCTGGTGGAAATACCCCAGTGTCCCCAAGGATTGGTGTTTTCCACCCCTTCTGGTTCAGGTTGATGGGGGATGCAGAGCAGGTGTGAAAAGTATAGGGAGGAGGGAAGCGTGGTGCCCAGTATCAGCAGGGGACATAAAGATCTGAAATTCAAGTCAGCGTGTTTGCCTGATCCACCACACAAGAGACAAATAATGTTTAATGTAAATTTAACTCTTTTCCTCCTCTGATTCCACAGCTAGGAAAGCTCCTACTATAAGATCAATCTAGGACAGTGTTTCTCAACCTTGGCAACTTGAAGATGTGTGGACTTCAACTCCCAGAATTCTGGGAGTTGAAGTCCACACGTCTTCAAGCCTCCAAGGTTGAGAAATGCTGATCTAAAAGAAGGCCTTCTTCTAGGTGAACTGGCTAGACTACCATCATAATCTTTTTTGGTAACCTCATCTTCAGAATTAAGATGGATGACCAGAAAAAAGGGTATTTGAGGTGATAGTGCCCTAATATGTATTTTGTACCATCTTTGCTTAAAAACCTGTTTCGTTGTACCATAGGCCTGGAAGAAAGGTAGAATATTAAATATGCTCAATTACACAGCAATGAAAAATCCGCAGGCAAAACATCATTTTGGTCACACGCAATATGGGAGCACAAAATTTGTCCCCCATCCCCTTTTTTTTTTTGCAGCAGCTAAACGAAAACAGCCCAGCTGGTGGCTATCTTTAAAATCTCGTAGAAATCCACTTTTTCAGCAGGGAGACCATGGGCATTCTGGCAAGGCAGGGTGAGGAATTCAATATTTGTGCAAAGAGAATAATCTATATCATCATGATGATTACACTTCTCTCAAGCTTGCTGTCTTGTCTCCGTAGGAGACTTAGAAGGTTAGAGAAAGATGGATGCCCTGCACACCTGTATGCTGGATCAGAGCCATGGCTGAAACCCAACTCCACTAAGCTGCTTGGTGAGGGTCTTGGGTTCCCTGCTTCTCTGCATTAATAGGCTGGGAGGCAGTCATGGCCCCTGTTTCCTCCTCCCTCCCTCTGGCATCACTTGAAGCCACCTGCGATCATCTGGACTCTGAAGTCACTTTGGCGTCTTGCATTTCTGTTGCTTCTCTCTCTCTTTCACACATGTACCATATACACCTTGGTTAAGCGCAAAGCTGTAATTAAGCAAGGCTTTTCTCCTCCCAGTTAATTTTATTTGGGTTCTGATATATTCAGCTGGGAGAGGCAAGAGTATGTGTAAGGCAGAAGGGAGACTTTATTGTACCTACGATGATTTTCGGCAGCTGCAATGTCTGGAACAAGACTGGCAACAAGGACTTGAAGAATAAGGACCCCATTATTGGAAATAACAATAACATGAGAACTGGGAAGGACAGATGGACGGACCTGCCTAGGATCTAGGCAAAAGCTGAGACATTTACAGCTCCCTCCCACAGAATCCAATTTAGCATCAGGCAAAGACAGAGTCATCCTGCTTCATTTGTTGCAAGATGTATATAAATTAAAGGAAGAAAGCTCAGCCTGGGCACCATAGTAGAATAGCTTCAGATTTGGACTTACACCAGAAAGTTGCCAAGTTGGTCTCACATACAAACACAGACTCTTTAAAATGGAAAATAACCTCTCTCAAAAGAAAGCTTTTGAAATAACACCGGTAAAGTCTCTTCTAAAAAATCCAGATCTCGTTGGGGAAGCCAAAAACGGTAAAATGGTTGGTCTGCAAACTGGTGCAGCACAAATGTGGGACTGCACCTAAAGTAAATAGAATGTGTTTGAAAGGGAACAGAAGTGGTTCTAGGGGCTTCTCTAAAATCCATGTTAAAGGTGTTAATTAGCCCAGATCAAAAGTCCAAAACTGTTCAAGCTTTCCTGTTCCAGGTAAGGTGATAAACAAAGCAGAAAAAAGGAGGATGGAAAAAAGGATGCTTTACATGTTGATTTATTTATTTGATTTGGTACCACCATGATCTACATGGCTCTTGGGAGTTCTGTATTAGAAATAATATAAAGAAATTGTCCATGGTAAAAAAAATAAAAATAAACAACTACTATCTGAAAAACAAGTAGTAATAATTTCAGGGCATCCTGCCAATCTCTGTAAAGCCTCTGTAAGTTCTGTTTTAAATATCTTTTGGGAAGCTAGCATTGTAGGGGCCAGGCTAATTTCCACGTGGTATGTTGAAATACATGGGGTCTGCAACTAGTCACCATTTTCAGATAAAACGTGGGAAGAAATTGCAGAACAGGCACTGAAATTACACTGTACCTGATGCTGTGATGGTTTCAGGTTGTACTTAAACTCTGCTAAGAGTTTTCGTTCCAGATGTCAAAGAATGAGTACATTGTCAGGCAAAAGGGTTGAGGAGTAAATATAGTTATGGGACAGAGATCCTGCACATACTCAGATTTCTCTAGATCAGTGTTTCTCAACCTCAGCACCTTGAAGATGTGTGGACTTCAACTCCCAGAATTCCCCAGCCAGCATGGCTAGCTGAGGAATTCTGGGAG